TCCTGCTCGCGAGAGAGGACTCTCGCGAGCACTCCCAGCGGGCAGCGGCGCCAACTGCCGCCACCGATGGAGAAGGGGCAGCCGAACTTGCAGAAGAGAGCCCCACACCGCCAGGATATATTCAAGCACCCGCCAGCCTTTGCTCGCGGGGTGGTGCATGGGGAAGACAGCGAAGCTGATGTCTCAGATCCGATGGCTGACACTGCCGAGCCTGTTCCTGATCACCATTTCGTTGATCAGTTGTTCCAGAATGGGGGGGATCTATACATAATGGCAGTCAATATAGTTGTTACTTACACATGCACTCTCAAAGGTCTTAATGAGGTTGCCCACGATTCACTACCGGATGGACAGTCAAAGCCATGCCGCACCTGCATCGACGGATCTGGGACATCCGCTCAGCTTTGTCACAACCCTCATGGGCAGCTGCTGTTCTCACGTGCGCTCCTGGTGGACAGCGCCACCATGCAGCGCACTTCGCAGGCACCTTCGACCCTGAGGCGCTGGGCATCTCGTCGGATCATATCAGTCTGGCAGCTGAGTGGATTGGGCTCATGTGAGCACATACTTTGACTGTCCAAGCCCAGGCCCCCAATACCACTTTTTTCCTGGACAGCAAATCGGCTCCTTACGCAGCTGCTGGGCGCTCGAAACTACCCCCTCTCAATGGCCTCTCTAGCGTGATTCGAGCCCTGGCTCTTGTTCGTGAACCAGCAAGCGGTTCTGAGCTTGCGCACATTCAGGCCCACAAGGAAGACCCCCTCGACGAACTTGTCGATACACTCGCAACTCTTATCTCACTAAGATTATCTCGGAACCGTCAAGGTGTCCCTGGGCCGAACTACGTCGGGATCTTTTTGTTACCGTCTGAGCCTGATTAAAAAATAATATCCCACAATGGCCGTCTGCAGTACCACCTCTTGTCGGGGGCTCGCTGGTGTTTAGGTCTCCTGCTGCAGCAGTTTGGTACAACCTTCCATGGGCTGCCCTTGCCGGGCAGTGCTCTCAAGGGTACTGATACTGCTGGTGACCCTGATGACGCTCACTGCCAGCCCGCGCATCAGCATCCCTACGATCCCGTCGTCTGTGATATGGTGGATTGCAGGGCCATATTCGCATCACGATGCAGCAGGCGCGACGAGGCAAGCCGATAATTACTGGCCTCTACTCGGTGGCAGGCCTCGACCACCCGCCCATCAGGTTCGGCAGGCTAACCTGGATATCATCTCGCTGAAACCAGGAAGCCGCGTTAAGGGTGGTCACAAGTCGGGAGATACCTGGTACTCGATGGGTCTCGCGAGCCTAATTGTTCTCATGGGCGTTCTCAGCTGGTCCCCAGCGCCCCGCGTTCTGAAGCCGAGGAGGTGGAGAGGAGTACTCGGTGGGAGGAGTGTCCTGACGAGGCGGCTAGAACTAAGCGGCGCTACAGTCACATGGTGTGGCGTTTGGACGCTGACGCTACCGTGGGTTCGGTTTCATCTCCGCCGGTGGGTCCTGTCGCTGCCGCTCCCCCAGAATCATAACGGAGATGAGTTTTATGCAGCTCGTGCTCGATCTTCGATGGGACTGCTGGCGTCTTGCCACGGCGATCCCCCGGCATCAGCAACGTGGACACCGCCTCGAGGTTACTTTCCTACACGCCGAATCGACTATGCGGTGATGCATAACACGTTTCAAGTATACGTGAACCATGACATCGAACTCGCAGCCTCCAGGTCGACCACTAATTGGTACAGGCTACGGTGAACATACCTATCATGGTACGGGCACAGATAATCATGCTGGTCAGATGCACGCCCACGTATTGACACACATAACCTGCATAATCCCCAATGTCGCAGAACGTTCATCGAGCACATGCACGCGTGCCCCATTCCATCATGGGAGATCTCCCATGCTCAACACTGCCAGTTAGTCAATCGGAACATGTTTTCCAGAATGGTCCTGGAGTTGATGAGCTACCTGAAGCCACTCCGAGTGTGCTGCACCACCTTCGAGTGCAACGCCGAAGGTTTCGATGGGCGCTAGATCTACTCGCACAAGCTTGGCTCAGAACAGTTATCCTGGTCTGGGCTGAGGTATCCTCACCTCTCTCTTCGATGTTGCTTATCTGGGAAATTGGCTCATCGTTTCGAACTGTACCTGATGTTCGTTGCTTGGGGTCATCTTACTTCTGGTGCGTTCCCGTGCGGGTTACATGTTCGCGCTCTCAATGCCTTGCCTGACACCAGGAGGATGGTGCAAAAGCTATGTTGGTCGTCTCCACCTTGCTCCAGGGTGCTCTCCGATCCTCGTCTACAGATTATTCTGGCCGTCGAGAACCTAACATGTCAACCGCCGGTAAGGTTACCCTGGCTAGGGCGGACTTTGCAGCTTACTCGTTCCTGGTCGGCACCTCCCTCGAGCTCGTCCACTCGTCGAAGTACCAGTCTTAGGTCCGTCCGTTGAACCCAGTGGAGCTCCCTCTGCATAGTCTGCCAGCTTTCCAACAGCCTCTGTTCGCGGGTGCGGTCTTTGCGTGTCAGCAACGAACTAGGATGGCTTCGACGGCTAGGGTGGTGCAGCTGGCTAAATCAGCATCCGACGGTTGGCCCAAGTGGAAATTCAAAAAAGGCGTGTGTGGCTTTGCGTGCGGCCCCTGGGAGCTGCCGACACAAAACACCAACAGATCAAGGCACTTTCTGCAGTTGCATGACCCAACGGCGAACTAGCACCTACCGTCGCTCACGAGACTCAAGAGAGTGGGGGCTGCTCAGCTCTCCGCCGAGACGTTCGCGCAGGTCTGCCCAGATGTCACGCATGCCAATCACCCTAGCACGTCTCGGTTGAGCAGATTTCTGATTAGATGCAGTTTGAGCGAGCGCTGCGCATAACTAGTGATAGAGCGGCTGGTCCCGATGGCTTCTCGGGAGCTCCCGTGGGGTCCTTCGCACCTCCCATCGCCAAGACGTGCTACCCTCGCGTTGTCAAGAGAGCTCTCGCTCGAGACGTGATCGCAGTTCACTCACAGAAGAGGCTCCCCCTCGAGACTTCCTCAACATGTACGCCTCACGACCCGAGAATCGGCACTTTCCGGCTTTGGATGACCCCCATCGGACTACTACAGTATTGCCTGCGGGCCCCAGAAGCAGAGGGCTCTCGCTCGAGACGCCCCCGCATGTCACTCACCGAGGTGGCTCCCGCTCGCGGCCTCCGCAACATTCGAGCCTCTCAGACCCAAAAGTGACGACTGCTGGAGGTTCTGGATGCACCCGTCGGACTCATAAGATGATCCGCGGGCCCCATGCGGAGACGGCTCCCGCTCGAGACTCCCCCGCGGTTCACTCACGGCAGGGCTCCCGCTCGAGACTTCTCAAGATTCAAGCCTTACGACCCAAGAAGTGACGACCTTGTCATGTTATGGGTGGCCCCCTCGGATTAGCAGCATGATCCGCGCGCCTCACAACGAGGGGGGCTCCCGCCCGAGACGTCCTCGCGACTCATTCACAGACAAGGCTCCCGCTCGAGACTTCCCCCGCATCCAAGCTTGAGGAGCCCAAACGTGACAGCAGTTCCAGGTTATGGATGACCCCCTCGGATTCATAACATTATCTGGGAGCCCCATTAGGAGAGGACTCCCGCCCGAGACTTCCTCAATAATAAACTTTGGGGGGCCCAAACATGACGACTGGTACAGGCTCCGGATGACACCCTTCGGATTAATAGCTTTAGCTGCGGGCCCATACGGAGAGGACACCCGCGCGGGACGTTCTCGCGGTTCACACACCGACGAGGCTCGCGCACGAGACGAGTGGTGATGCGATGATGGGTGATATACGATCATCACCACCAGTACTCACGGACGAGGCTCTCGCTCGAGACGCTCACAATATGAGTGAGTGGTGATGATGGCGATGTGATGGTGATGATGACGATGATGGTGGTGATGAAAATGATGATGATGATGATGATGATGCTGATGATGATGATAATGATGCCGTGATATCCTCGTGGGATGGCGATGGTGATGATAATGATGCCGATGATGATGATGATGATGATGATGATGATGATGATGATGATGATGATGATGATGATGAAGATGATGATGATGATGATGATGATGATGATGATGATGATGATGGTGGTGGTGGTGGTGGTGATGATGGTGATGACAATGGTGGTGGTGTGAAAATGAAGATGAGTGGGAAAGGTGAAGATGAAAGGAGGACGTAAGAGGAGTGCGCGGGGTGCCCGGATGGAAAAAGAGCATCACTTCGGATGAGGACCAAAAACAATCACTCAATCAATCGATCGATCAATCAATCGGTCGTCGTCATTATCTGCAGAATCATCATCATCACCATGCTCATCATCATCATTATTATTATCATGATCATCATCATCCCCATCACCATCATCGTCATCGTCATAATCGCCATCGCCATCACAATCACCATCACCTCACCAGCATCATCATTATTATCATTATCATCATTAGCATAATCATCAGCAGCATGATCATCATCATTATCATAATCACAATCATCACCAACATCACCATACTGCTCAACCTTATCATCATCGTCGCCTGCAAACATCACACGCACCACTGCCACCGTCAGCTTCACGATCATCACAATCATCAGCATGGTCGTCGTCGTCGCCATCACGAACATCACCACAACCATCATCATTGTCAACATGGTAATCCTCCACATCTTCATCGTCATTGCCGCCACCACCACAATCACCCTCACTTATCAGTATCAGTATGATCATCGTCAGTATTGCCAATATCGTCGTGATAAGTACCATCATCAACGTACTTACCAGCATCACAAGCGATCCTCACACGCCTATTCGTCTTCCTACATTTCTTCCCGCCTCTCCCTCCTTCTCCTCGTCCTCCTCCACCTCCTCCTCCTCCTCCTCCTCTTCCTCCTTCTCGTCCTCCTGATCCTCCCCCTCATCCTAATCATCCCTCCTTCTCCTCCGCCTCCTCCCCCTCCGGCGGCAGCTCAAAGGGCGTCCAGAGAGCCATCGGGCTGCCGGAAGTTCTTCATGCTCCCAAGGTTGTCCACGAGGTCCTCCGCAGGGGTTTAGGCCAAACAGCGTTTTTTGCCGTCCCTGTTATGGCTCAAGCATGAACGCGTTCCAAAAGATTACCCGAAACAGCGGGCGGAAGCAGAAAGAGAACGGAAACGATGTCCAACCCCAGACTCCTCGTGATGAGGAGCAAGGGCGGAGGGGTTGAGGGAGGAGGAGGAAGAGGACGAGGACGAGGAGGGAGGACGAGGAGGGAGGACGAGGAGGAGGACGAAGACGGGACGAGGACGAGGACGAGGAGGGACGAGGGGAATGCGACCTCGTACAGGCGGGCAGGCGACCCCAGGACGGGGGACGGGGGGAACGTGCCCCGGGCAACGCGGCCCCCGGACCCCTCGCGATGCTCAGCCTGCCGAGCTGTCCGCTGTGCCTCCAGCGGCGGCGGCGGGAGCCTCCGGAAACCCTGGCTCGGCGGGCCTCCGACGGCCTCGCGGGATCGTTTCTTCGGGCACCCCCGGAACGCTCTCGACGAGGCGAAGGCGCCACGGGCCCCGAGAACCTCGACAACCGCCGAGAGAACATCGGAAAACCGCGGAAAAACTCAGACACATCAGGAAACCGTTGGGTGCCTAAGAAAACAATAAAAAGCAGCAGAAAACCGCGGACAAGACCTCCGCAAGCATACGAAACCCGCGAAACGAGACGGCGGTCTTGCCGCCCGCGGAGTCCTCCGCCGTGGGCGGCTTGTCGTTGCGCCTGCTCGGGGGGGAGTGCACGGCTGAAGCGCGGCGGTGCGACAGCATGGGAAGAGAGGGGGAGGAAGATGGGGAGGAGGAGGAGGAGGAGGAGGAGGAGGAGGAGGAGTAAACTTAGATGTTCGTTCTGGGGACCTGCCAGGAGCCACTCCCTACACTCATGCGTCGATGCTGCGTCGAACGTCCGTCGACCAGAGTCGAGCTCGAGTCGAACACTTGGGCCGAGCTGCAGTCGAGCTGGAGTCGAGCTGGAATGGAAAAGGGCCCGAGATACCACTGACCAGATCTGTGAGGTGGGCCCCGGGGAGGTCCCCAGAACGAACATCGGCGGAGGAACAAAAGGAGCAGGTGAGCGTTTTCTTATTCGGTCGGCGTTTCGACATTGAGCGAAAAGGGGGAGGGGGGGGTCTGGCTCAAGACCTCTGCTTAGTGCGACTGTTAGCAACAGTGCGTCCTATGAGGGAGGGACTCCACCTGCTCGAAACAAGCGCCAATTATACTGGCGAGGGACCCAACCATTTGCAGTTGTGGGCACAGTATTTGTAAATATCTTCTTCGGTGAAGCCCCCGATGGGGCCACGAAGCGCTGCACTGGGTGGGGGGGAACGCTGTACTGGTTGGGTGGTGTGCCAAATTGGGTTTCCGGGACGCATGCGGACGGTCCCACTGGGGGCTTCGGTGGAGCTCCCTATGGGGCCATAAAACGCTATACTGGGTGGGTGAAAATGCCACATTAGGTTTTCGGCACGCATGCGGACGGTCCCTCTGGGGCCTTCGGTGGAGCTCCCTATGGGGCCACGTAACGCTGTACTGGGTAGGTGAAAATGCCACATTAGGTTTTCGACACGCATGCGGACAGTGGCACTGGGGACTTCGGTGGAGCTCCCTATGGGGCCACGAAACGCTGTACTGGGTGGGTGAAAATGCCACATTGGGTGAATCGGGACGCATGCGGACAGTCCCACTGGGGCCTTCGGTGGAGCTCCCTATGGGGCCACGAAACATTGTAGTGGGTGGGTGAAAATGCTACATTGGGCTTTCAGGACGCATGCGGACGGTCCCACTGGGGGCTTCGGTAGAGCTCCCTATGGGGCCATAAAACGCTATACTGGGTGGGTGAAAATGCCACATTAGGTTTTCGGCACGCATGCGGACGGTCCCTCTGGGGGCTTCGGTGGAGCTCCCTATGGGGCCACGTAACGCTGTACTGGGTAGGTGAAAATGCCACATTAGGTTTTCGGCACGCATGCGGACAGTGGCACTGGGGACTTCGGTGGAGCTTCCTATGGGGCCACGAAACGCTGTACTGGGTGGGTGAAAATGCCACATTGGGTGTTTCGGGACGCATGCGGACAGTCCCACTGGGGCCTTCGGTGGAGCTCCCTATGGGGCCACGAAACATTGTACTGGGTGGGTCAAAATGCTACATTGGGCTTTCGGGACGCATGCGGACGGAAGCGCTGGGGCCTTCGGTGGAGCTCCCTATGGGGCCACGAAACGCTGTACTGGGTGTGCGGGACGCATGCAGACGGTAGCGCTGGGACCTTCGGTGGGGCTCCCTATGGGGCCACGAAACACTGTACTGGGTGGGTGAAACGCAGGGAGGAGGGAGAGGGGGGCCACGAAACGCTGTACTGGGTGTGCGGGACGCATACGAACGGTAGCACTGGGACCTTCGGACCTTCGGTGGGGCTCCCTATGGGGCCACGAAACGCTGTACTGGGTGGGTGAAACGCAGGGAGGAGGGGGAGGAGGGAAAAGGAGGGAGGAAGAGAAACGCGGGGCGCTGTCTCTTCAAAACGAGGACCCAACACCACAGGATGGGGTGGGAAAAAACAGCCAAGATCTACTCTAAGAGGGAGGGGGGGTGCGAGAACCCGCGCCGAACGGCAAAACAATTAATAATTATCCTGGCGAAGGTCCCAACCATATGCAGTTGTGGGTACCGTAATTGTGATTATCTGCTTCGGTGAAGCTCCCTACGGGGCCACGAAACGCTGCACTGGGCGGGGGGGAACACTGAACTGTGTGGGTGGTGTGCCGAATTGGGTTTCCGGGACGCATGCGGACTGTCCCACTGAGGGCTTCGGTGGAGCTCCCTATGGGGCCACGAAGCGCTCTACTGAGTGAGTGAAAATGCTAAATTGGGCTACCGGGACGCATGCGGACGGTCCCACTGGGGGCTTCGGTGGAGCCCCCTATGGGGCTACGAAAAGCTGCATTGCGCGGGTGAAAATGCCAAATTACATTTCCCGGACGCAAACGGACAGTTGCACTGGGGCCTTCGGTGGAGCCCCTTATGGGGCCACGAAACGCTGCACTGGGTGGGTGAAAATGCCAAATTGGGCTTCCGGGACGCATGCGGACGGGGGCACTGGGGCCTTCGGTGGAGCTCCCTATGGGGCCACGAAACGCTCTACTTGGTGGGTGAAACGCAGGGAGGAGGGAGAGGAGGGCCACGAAACGCTGGACTGGGTGTGCGGGACACATGCGGACGGTAGCACTGGGACCTTCGGTGGGGCTCCCCATGGGGCCACGAAACGCTGTACTGGGTGTGCGGGACGCATGCGGACGGTAGGACTGGGGCCTTGGGTGGAGCTCCCTATGGGGCCACGAAACGCTATACTTGGTGGGTGAAACGCAGGGAGGAGGGGGAGGAGGGCCACGAAACGCTGGACTGGGTGTGCGGGACGCATGCGGACGGTAGCACTGGGACCTTCGGTGGGGCTCCCCATGGGGCCACGAAACGCTGTACTGGGTGTGCGGGACGCATGCGGACGGTAGGAAGGAGGGTGAGGAGGAGGAGAGGAGGAGAACGCGGGGCGCCGTCTCTTCAAAACGAGGACCCAACACCACAAGATGGCTGGGCAGAAAACGCTCACGCTCAGGGAAAGGAGGAGAGAGGGAGCAAGGTCACCCAGCATCGCACGCCGCGCCGCTCGCGATGCGCGACGCGCGGTGGCCTTCGCGCCCTCGCGCCGCCCTCCTGGCCCAGGGCCGCGGCGCGCGAAGCGTCGGTTCTCTTCGCGCGCCGGGGAGGTGGTCCGCAGCGCCCGTCGCGCCGAGAGCACGTGGTGTGCTTCGGCTCGGCTCCTGCAGGGGCAGCGTCACTGAGCAAGGCTGGTCCCGCTGCTGCTGCTGGTCCTCCTCCTCCACCTACACCTCCTCTGTGGGAAACTGCGCGCGTTTGCGCCCGTAGCCGGTTTCCCCGCGTCACCTTTACGTGGGGGGGGGGGCGGGGGGAGGGGTTGCACGCGTTACGCCTGGAAGTGATAAAAGAGCGACCTTCTCCAATGCTGGCACCAGGGATCTGGCTCGCGCGCGGGGGAGCCCGAAGGCGGACACACTCTCCCAGCACTGAAGAACAAGCGCTGCGACAGGCGCCCGACAAGCAGTCCCCAACATGAGATCCACTTGCGTGTCGGAAGAGGAGAAAGGAAGAAGACGAGGAGGAGGAGGAGGAGGAGGACGAGGAAGGAGAGAATGAGGAGGAGGAGGAGGAGGAGGAGGAGGTGAAGGATCCCGTCGCGCAACGCGGCTTGGGAGGGGGCAGGGGGGCATCGCGCTGCGGTGCGTGGACAGCGCCTACTCTAGCAAGATCAGATTTGCGATCCACTGTGTACGAAGCCGCTCGATCGCGCGCTCACAGAAATGATGCTGACGGAGTTCCCCACATAAGGACGTTACGGGGTTGGCGGGATCAGGAGTATCACCAGCATCGTCGGCGTCATCATCATCAGCAGCGCAAGCATCAGTATCTTCGTCACCGTCATCACCAGGTTGTGGTCAGTGAAGCTGCGCCCTCTTGCCGCAGGGCCCCGCTGCTTCTCCGGCATCGCGGCGGCGGGCCAAGCTGCCAGGCACAGCCAACGCGCGATGCCACCAGCTTTGCTTCTTCAAAAGAGACTTGATAGAGACGCCACCATGCGCAGCCCAAGGTATCGAATGGACATTTTCGACCTGGACGACCTGCTGGCAACTCCCCGATGCGATGCCAGTCGGGCAGAGACCCCGTTGCCCTTGTCGCAAGCGGCGCAGCTGGCTCCAGCAATGACATCGCCATTCGCTTGTTCTGGCCATCCCGACGTCGGCGCGCCACCCCAACCTGCCACGATAATCCATCGGGTCTTTCTACATGCCGACGAAGGCGGCCAAAGCCCGAAGTGTCTCGCGATTCCCCCCAGCGAACTCGAGCTTCGGGCGGAGGCGCGCGGCGATGATGACGAGGCTTCCCACGCTGAGGTGGAGGACCACCGGGACGAGGCCGACGAATGCACCATCATCTTGTTTGTCTTAAAAGCGGCCCCCCAGTGGCCCAGCGCGGCAGTTTGTCTGCGCTTGCGCACTGCCGCCAACTCACCTCCCGGGCATCCTCCTTCCGATATAGCCACCCGGCACTGCTGGCGTGGCCGTAGACTTCCACCCTTCCTTTTGCAAGTCCTCCCGGATCTTCACCGCGCCTCCGGGACTGACGCGGGCCTCGACCATCGTCAGGCCGCCCCTTTGCTCGCCGTCATCGCCCCTGACATGCGGCCACCGATCCGTGGTCTGCGTTGCTTGGTGTTCTCGGCTCTCGGCAACGCTGGGCCGTTCTCTCCTGCGGCGGTCGAACACTGCCCTGATTGGAAAGCATGTCCGAATCCGATCTTCTTGCGCCTCAACCTCGCCGTGCTCCCCGACTTTGCGGCGCTATTTAGTTTCGCCGCGACCTCTCTGGTTTTCGCGTGGACCTGATGGATGCAGCGCAACTTGGCGTCCCACCGGCTAGGGTGCTCTGTGTACAACTTGCCAAACTCCTCATGCCACTGGGGGGGTGAATTTATCCTCCTCGCTGATGTCGCGCTCCTCCGCGTCGCGGAACACCACGGGGTTGCATTCGAACTTGACCTGGGAACCCGAACTCAGACTGTGTATAGAATATTGCTTCTCGGCTGGCTTGCGCAAGCTTCCCACGCTGCTGCGCAGTCGCCTCCCCCAGCTGCCCCACGACCTTATCCATGCGGTCGGCCTTATATGACCGTCCCCGAGTTTATTGTGATGCTTGCTGTTCGACCGTCTTGACACGCGTGGTCTCGCTGGCCAACTGGACACATGTCTTCGGCTTGATGGTAGTGTTCTTGGTGCTGCTTTCCTCGTTGGCCTTTTGCGCGCAAAATGATGGTCGCCGCCCCCCTTCTGGGTCGACAAGCGCCCCTTTCACCCATGTACGTCGTGAGCCCGCCGAAGAGGCTGGACGCGTCAAGGGGTGGCTTGCCCTGCGGCTTATTATTCAACTGGCATTTGCTACTGACGTGATGCTTCCTTCCGTAGCGACAGTGGATATCTGTACGTACTCCTGTTGCGGGGAAGGGAGAAGAAGAGAGGAGGAACAGGAGGACGAGGAACAGGAGGGAGAGGGAGACGGATAAGCAGGAGGAGGAGGAGAACGAAGACAAAGAAGCCAGCAGTCCGCACCATAGTATTAGCAAAAACGCTGGGGTCATTTTCCCCGTTGTTTGAATCGTTGGTTTGTATGTTGTTGGGCCCGTGTTTAAAAATCGTTGTGGGATTGCCGCCTCGCCGCGGTCGGTTCGTTTGGCGATCCGTGTTAAAAATCGTTCAGTGCCGATGTTGTTCGGCGTTCGTGGCGGTGTGTCGTTCTGCTTTGGGTTGCCGCTTCTTTTCTGTTTCGAACTGCCGTTTTTCGCTCGTTCTCGGCGGGTGCCGTTCCTGTTCTGTGCTGGGCTGCCGTTGCTTATTCTGTTCTGGTCGACCCCAATACGAAATCTGAACACGGAAGAAACGCCCCCAGCATGTTTTTTTTTGAGAACCAAGGTCTGCACACGGTTCTGCCAAAAGCTCTCATCCCGAAAGCCGACGTGGGCAAGTCTAGGCGGCGCGCCTGGGGGCGAAGTGAGAAGGAGCGGGCCTGTTCAGGAGGCTCGGAAGTTCCCTGGTCTGTTGGGAAATTCTCTAACCCTTCCACGAAGACACAGAACACATCTCAGGTTCCACGAAGACACGGAACACATCTAAGGAAGCGCGAGGGCTTCTGAGAAGTCCCGCCGCCTTCTGAGAAGGCCTTCTCCTTCTCATGTCCCCCCCAAATGCGCCGCCGACATTAGTTTTGGGGTCATAACAATGTCTCCAACGGCCGTTCGGGACGATCCGGGCATCCCCCAGAACGCCCTCGGCGAGGCACAGCTGTTGGCAAGCATAAACAAAAACCTAGAACCTCGAGCCTCGAACCCGAAAGTTTACCCACTTCTCGTTTCCCCCCCCTCGCTCGCCGGCGAATTTTCTTCCGACCGCCACCCCTTTGCACGAGAAGGAGCGTCCAGCCCTGAGCTGACCAGAACTGCCACGGGGCACCAAGCCCTCCCAGCACAAGCTAAGGGCAGGGGGGGCGACGGGGGGGAGGAGGGAGGAGGGACGAGGAGGGACGAGGAGGACAAGGGAGGAGGAGGAGAGGGAGGAGGAGGAGGAAGAAGAGGAGGGAGGAAGAGGAGGAGGAGGAGGAGGAGGAGGGAGACGTAGAGCGAGGAGGAGCCAGGAGGGATGGATAAGGAGGTGGCGGGGGAGCAGGAGCAGGGAGGAGGAGTGAGGGGAAAAAGGGAGGAAGAGAAAAACGGAGGAAATGGAGAAGAAGGGAGGGGGGACGGAGAAGGGAAGGTGTATAGTCTGGGGGGGTGCTGTTAGACGACGGTGCCTGGCGTTGAGCGAGCGTTGGGGACAACACGGCTGGTCCCCGGCAGGTGCTGCGCCTGGCCCACCACACCAAAAACGAAGGAAACATCGAAAGGAACAGAAGGGAGGATCATCAAAAAGGAAACATCAAAAAGGAAACATCAAAAAGGAAACATCAAAAAGGAAACATCAAAAAGGAAACATCGAAAGGATCATGAAAAGGAAGAGACGCAGGAAGGGGAGAAGGAGGAGGCAGAAGAGAATGCGGGAAAAATCTAGATTCAACCAGCACAGAACAGCGCACCAAAGTCGCATGGAGAGCTCTTGACCGCGATGCCCGCCCCCCCCAGCACCAGCTGCCTGAGAATCTCTCTGCCGTCTTCGGCGCGCAGCGACATCCACCCAGACATGGGGATGGTGATGCGGACGCGGCGGCCTTCCACGTTGCGGGTGTAATCCAACATCCATACCCGCATGTTCCCTCCCCCTCCTCTGCACCCTTCCCCACCCACCCGTCTCTTCATCATCAGATTCGAGCTATACTGCTGGCACGACGGTTGCTGAAACGACATCGACGCCGACTATTACCATTACTACTACTACTACTACTACTACTACTACTACTACTACTACTACTACTACTACTACTACTACTACTACTACTACTACTACTACTACTACTACTACTACTACTACTACTACTACTACTACTACTACTACTACTACTACTACTACTACTACTACTACTACTACTACTACTACTACTACTACTACTACTACTACTACTACTACTACTACTACTACTACTACTACTACTACTACTACTACTACTACTACTACTACTACTACTACTACTACTACTACTACTACTACTACTACTACTACTACTACTACTACTACTACTACTACTACTACTACTACTACTACTACTACTACTACTACTACTACTACTACTACTACTACTACTACTACTACTACTACTACTACTACTACTACTACTACTACTACTACTACTACTACTACTACTACTACTACTACTACTACTACTACTACTACTACTACTACTACTACTACTACTACTACTACTACTACTACTACTACTACTACTACTACTACTACTACTACTACTACTACTACTACTACTACTACTACTACTACTACTACTACTACTACTACTACTACTACTACTACTACTACTACTACTACTACTACTACTACTACTACTACTACTACTACTACTACTACTACTACTACTACTACTACTACTACTACTACTACTACTACTACTACTACTACTACTACTACTACTACTACTACGACTACTCCCATTACTATTACTACTACTATTACTACTATTACGACTTACGGGGAGAAGAGGAGAGGAGACGCGCGGCGCTGCGGATTCAAAAAGAGGACCCAACACACAGGAGTGTTGGTAAAGTATCCAGGCGATGGACCCAACCATATGCAGTTGCGAGTACCGCAAAGCAGGTTGAGCGAATGAGAGGGAACTCCCTAAGGGGCCACGAAACGTGTGAGGGCTGTGCCGAAATGGGTGCGGTGCCGCCATGCGAACGCAGCCACTGGGGCCTTCGGTGGAGCTCCTTATGGGATCACGAAACGTGTGAGGGGTGTGGCGAAATGGGCGCGGTGCCGCCATGCGGACGCAGCCACTGGGGCCTCGGTGGAGTTCCCTATGGGGCCACGAAACGTGTGAGGGGTGTGCCGAATGGGCGCGGTGCCGCCATGCGAACGCAGCCACTGGAGCCCTCGATGGAGCTCCTTATGGGGCCACGGAACGTGTGAGGGGTGTGCCGAAATGGGCGCGGTGCCGCCATGCGAACGCAGCCATTGGAGCCCTCGGCGGAGCTCCCTATGAGGCCACGAAACGTATGAGCGGTGTCCCGACATGGGCGCGGTGCCGCAATGCGAACGCAGCCACTGGGGCCCTCGGTGGAGCTCTCTATGGGGCCACGATCCGGGTGAGGGGTGTGCCGAAATGGGCGCGGTGCCGCCATGCGAACGCAGCCATTGGAGCCCTCGGTGGGGCTCCTCATGGGGCCACGAAGCGTGTGAGGGGTGTGCCGAAATGGGCGCGGCGCCGCCATGCGAACGCAGCCACGGGGGCCCTCGGTGGAGCTCCCTATGGGGCCACGAAACGTGTGAGGGGTGTGCCGAAATGGGTGCGGTGCCGCCATGCAAACGCAGCCAGTGGGGCCTTCGGCGGAGCTCCCTATGGGGCCACGAAACGTGTGAGGGGTGTGCCGAAATGGGTGCGGTGCCGCCATGCGAACGCAGCCATTGAGGCCCTCGGTGGAGCTCCGTATGGGGCCACGAAACGTGTGAGGGGTGTGCCGAAATGGGTGCGGTGCCGCCATGCGAACGCAGCCATTGAGGCCCTCGGTGGAGCTCCCTATGGGGGCCACGAAACGTGTGAGGGGTGTGCCGAATGGGCGGTGCCGCCATGCGGACGCAGCCACTGGGCCCTCGGTGGAGCTCCCTATGGGGCCACGAAGCGTGTGAGGGGTGTGCCGAATGGGCGCGGTGCCGCCATGCGAACGCAGCCACTGGAGCCCTCGGTGGAGCTCCTTATGGGGCCACGAAACGTGTGAGGGGTGTGCCGAAATGGGTGCGGTGCCGCCATGCGAACGCAGCCACTGGGGCCCTTGGTGGAGCTCCCTATGGGCCACGAAACGTGTGAGGGGTGTGCCGAAATGACGCGGTGCCACCATGCGGACGCAGCCACTGGGGCCCTCGGTGGAGCTCCCTATGGGGCCACGAAACGTGTGAGCGGTTTGCCGAAATGGGTGCGGTGCCGCCATGCGAACGCAGCCACTGGGGCCCTCGGTGGAGCTCCCTATGGGGTCACGAAGCGTGTGAGGGGTGTGCCGAAATGGGTGCGGTGCCGCCATGCGAACGCAGCCGCTGGGGCCCTCGGTGGAGTTCCTTACGGGGCCACGAAACGTATGAAGGGTGTCCCGACATGGGTGCGGTGCCGCCATGCGAACGTAGCCACTGGGGCCCTCGGTGGAGCTCCCTATGGGGCCACGAAGCGTGTGAGGGGTGTGCCGAAATCGGTGCGGTGCCGCCATGCGAACGCAGCCACGGGGGCCCTCGGTGGAGCTCCCTATGGGGCCACGAAACGTGTGAGGGGTGTGCCGAAAAGGGTGCGGTGCCGCCATGCGAACGCAGCCACTGGGGCCCTCGGTGGAGCTCCCTATGGGGCCACGAAACGTGTGAGGGGTGTGCCGAAATGGGTGCGGTGCCGCCATGCGAACGCAGCCACTGGGGCCCTTGGTGGAGCTCCCTATGGGGCCACGAAACGTGTGAGGGGTGTGCCGAAATGACGCGGTGCCGCCATGCGGACGCAGCCACTGGGGCCCTCGGTGGAGCTCCCTATGGGGCCACGAAACGTGTGAGGGTGTGCCGAAATGGGTGCGGTGCCGCCATGCGGACGCAGCCACTGGGGCCCTCGGTGGAGCTCCCTATGGGGTCACGAACGTGTGAGGGGTGTGCCGAAACGTGTGCAGGGTGTGAAGGGGTGTGCCGAAATGGGGGGTGGAACCGCATGCGAACGCAGCCACTGGGGCCTTCGGTGGAGCTCCCTATGGGGCCACGAAACGTGTGAGGGGTGTGCCGAAATTGGGGGTGGAACCGCATGCGGACGCAGCCACTGGGGCCTTCGGTGGAGCTCCCTATGGGGCCACGAAACGTGTGAGGGGTGTGCCGAAATGGGGGGTGGAACCCCATGCGGACGCAGCCACTGGGGCCTTCGGTGGAGCTCCCTATGGGGCCACGAAACGTGTGAGGGGTGTGCCAGAATGGGGGGTGGAACCGCATGCGGACGCAGCCATTGGGGCCCTCGGTGGGGCTCCCTATGGGGCCACGAAACGTGTGAGGGGTGTGCCAGAATGGGTGTGGGAGGGGGAGGAGGGGGGAGGAGGGAGGGAGGAAGGAGGCGGGAACGCGGGGCACCGTCTCTTCAAAACGAAGACCCAACACCACAGGATGGTTGGGAAAAACGGTGGACCGCGCCTCCGAACGTTCGAAACGGCCGGCGAAGACCACCCAAAAGACAGCTCAGAATGGCCCAACCCAGCCCAAGATGCCTCGAGAAGGGCCCGAACATGACAAAGTTGTTGATTATCCTACGGTTTCGAAATTATGAGCTTCACCTGTTCGGGCTGCCTTCAGATCAAGACTGCCATGGCGGCCTCTACGTAAGATGACCCCAAGACGGCCCAAGAGGGCCCCAAAGGACCCCCAACACAGCTCCATGACGGCCCGACTGAGATCACTGAGAGCTCATCAAGAATTGAAGATGATAAGTATCACTTGTGACGGACGTCCTCTTCCTCATCGGCAAGGTGATCATCATCAGCAGCAGCCACACCACCATCATCTTCAACAACATCGCCAGTGACAGCGTCATCATCAGCAGCGCATGCCATGTACCCCCATCGTCCACCGCAGTCAACCTCCTCGTTTCCTTATCGTGATCATCCTACTCCCCCGTACAAGTATCGTTAGTATCCTCCTCCTCTGCCTCATCCTCCTCCAACTCCTTCTCCCCCTCCCTGTCCTCATCGTGGTCTGCATCATATTGCTCTACGCAGACATGACGCCGAAACGCACATCACCTGCCGTGGCTATACTGAGCCTGGGAGCGCGAGGTGGCATACGATACGGCTGCCTGACAATCGCCACCCAAGGTCCTGGACTCGCACGAAGGCGGGACTTGCCGCAGGCAGGTGGGTATCCCATTTGGGAGACATCAAAGAGCACAACCAAAAGCGGCGTCTCGCAACATGTGGTACCTGCATACATGCGACCGCCGCCATATTACATGATAAACCTGCTCCATCGCCCCTTCTGCACGTGCGTCCTCAAAACTATGCCACCGAAGTATAAAAATACACATCATGGTGGATCGAAAACACACCAAACAAAAAAACAACAACGACAACATCTACGTCATCCTAACAAGTACCAACGTCGGCATCATCATGATCACGAACGCACCGTCACCATCACCATCACCACCCTCATCCGCCGCAGCATGATAACCGTCTGATCCTGCCCATACTCTTCCTCCCCCGCTCCACCCTCAAGCTCGTCCTGCTCGCCCCCCCCCCTCATCCGTTACATAAAAGTCATGAATACCCTCATCTTCGTCATCCCCGTCCTCTGCCATTGTCCCCGCTGCCTCCGCCCTCATCCAGCATTCCTTCATTAGCCACGATCCCCACCTCTTTGCTCTTCCACTACGTATGCACGCCCCCCGCTCCCCATGCGTAATATCATCATCATCATCATCATCATCATCATCATCATCAGCATCATCAGCATCATCATCGTCAGTACACTTATCATCATCATCATCATCATCATCATCATCATCATCATCATCATCATCAGCAGCATCCGCAGCATCAG